AGAGCAGACATTGGAAGCAGAATTTAGAAAGGCACTAGGCAACAGAATTTAGGATCCACAGAGATTGCATCAGGTGGGAAAATGCCTAGTGCCAGCTATGTGTATGATGCATTAAGAAATATTAGATGAATCTTTTAAATTGTAAGTTTTCAATTTCTTTATTAATAAAAAAATTCCTTTCTATAATGCCTGCCCATGTGATAAAATCAGAAGCATTTTTGATATTTTCCATGCTTCTGTCTAGTGAAAAGTAGAGAAAATAAAGAGAAGATAAATATGTTAAGATTCTTGTATCAGAAGTAAAACATTTAAATGTTATGTTTTCATTGTTCTTCCAGATGTTCTCCAAAAATTAAGAAATTCATTGCAAACTTTCTGTAAAATACATCCATTACGTGTCGATACCATGGAGACATTTTTCATTTTGTCATATATTTCTCGAATCTTCTAGAATCATGGGTCTATAAATCTTGCCTTCAAATTCTAAACTTTCCAAGCTGCAATGTGTAAAATCCTAAAGAAAAATTATCCCTACCAATTCTGTAACAGCAAAAAGCCAGAAATATTTTTGGGAAAAAATAGGAGGGAAAAAGTAGAAAATTAATTTTATAGAGGAAACTGATGCACATTCTGAGAATTTTGAATATTCTGAGACAATTACATGGGAAAAACTCTTACTATGAAAAAATTAAAAAGAAGACATTTTTTAATTAATTACATAGCTAATTTTGCTTTTGCTAAGAGCTGTTTCATAAATTGGGCTTTATAGCATTATACCTTGTTTATTTTTCACATTTAAAATATTGTATAATAAGTTGCCAAAATGAAACTTTACAATATGACAGAAAAAAATAAAAATGTTTTATTTTAATGTTATTTTTAAAATATAATTTCAATATATTACCATTATTTTAATGAAATTTATTAATGTTACGATGTTTCTAAAAAAAAAAAAATCGTTGAAAAATTCTCAGACTTTGGAATTAAAAAGTTTCTATAGAAGCTAATCTTAAAATTGCCAAACTGTTGAAAAGTCGCCAAATTTAGAACCGTTTAATAAAAAGAATTCACATCCCCAAAAGCGAAAAGTTGTTTAAGAGCTCTTTAATAGAAAAAATGAATTTCGAAAGGCTTATGTTTCACTTCTTGCTTAGAAACTCGAGTATCCCATCATTTATATTAGAAATAGAAAAAAATTATAACTCATGAAACCATTCAAAAAGATAACCTTATATACAGCAGTGAATCGCCAAAAAATATTCCTCAAAATGCTAATTCACACTCAAAATGACAATCGTAAAAACAGACAGAAATTTCAGATGATTAAAATTAAGGACCTTCTGCTGATTTTGGCCAAAATTAAGGACTTTTAAGGACCGTACGAACCCTGAATTTTATGTCGTGAAGAAAAAGAACAATTGTCAGAAATTTCCTGAGATCAAACTCTTAGAATAAATTTGTGTAACTTTCACATAATGAAACTTGGCAACAACAGAAACAAAGGAGCACCAAAAGCTATATATTGGTGAGAGAGGATTCTACTTATGTTCTGATACAGAAGTCTTAAAAAGATTTTGCTCTAATGTTGTATTTATGCTTCATTCTTTTAGCATGTTACTTTTATTATGGAATATACTGCTGATAATATTGCTTACTAGGTAATCTTGAATATATTTAAAACTTATATAAGTTCTTTATTTCAGCACTACGATTTAAATATTTGTAAAGACTGTTAATTTTAATTTGTATTCTATTTGAGATAAGCAAATTCTTTAACTTGTTAAATACAGATTTCACAGCTATTCTATCTTACGATTCTTTAATAAAACTGTGCTAAATAGAGGATAAAACTAAATACAGAACAAAATTTAAATTGGAACCTAATTTATGGTTAAAACTAAGTGAAATAAGACCAGACATAAAGAAATAGATCTCTATTAAACAGGCCCAAATTTCACACTAAATTTTAGAATTAAAATATTATAACTGAAATTTTGATAATTAAAATGGTAACCAATTTTTAACCTCATATTTAATACAAATATTTAATAGGTTGTGCAAATGGCAATATATATATATTTTTTAAACATTTCTATTCAGAAACTGAAAAATAATCATTTAAAATGTAGTAGTGATACTAGGGTTTTCCAAATTTTGTTTAGATGGTACACGTTAGTCAAAAGGTTGAGAACTTGTTTTAAGGCATTCACAATATTATGAATAACATCAAGATTTCAAATTAAGAAGAATGTGAATCAAAGATTATTTCTATACATAGAGAAAAAAATTATAGAATTTCTTTTAAAAAAGATTTTAACATCCATGTTTTCATAAGGCAAAATTTTTTAAAGATGAGAAAACATTACTCATTTTTAAAAACCTGGAATTACTAGACAATCCCAGATTTTCATTACTGTACCCACAGCTATACTTTATATTTAAAAAAATGTCTGGTATTTTTAAATTAATGGCTACAAAAATTGAAGAGTTATTAATTTTAAAAAAGAACAAAAACACACACACACACAACAACAACAAAAAAAGGGGGAGCAATGTTTCTACTGGAATGAATGCATTTTTGAATAAAATCAATTAATTTTTGATAAAAAAATTGGGATAACCAGACAGTCGCTGGTTTATTATTTTATCCAAAGTTATGTTGTATATTGGAAAAAAGCCTGGTATTTTTATATTAACAGCTATGAAAATGAAGAACTGTTAATTCTAGAAAGGGAACAAGGCCACAAAACATAATTAATGTTTTTACTGGGATGCAGGTATTTTTGGATAAAATCAATTAATATCTAATTACAGTTGATAATTTCAAAAATGTACTTTCACATTACATATATTTCCAAAACGGGCCTGGCGTGAAATGTATTTAATCTACAATTTAGTGTTTTTAGCATTATGTTAATTGAATCTCATGCTTTAATGTTTCCTCAATACTGACTTCAGCTCATCAGGGCTGTATAACTTATGAGCCACAATCCTTCTTAACACTGAAATTTATTTCTCATAAAGTATATCAGATTTTCTTTTCTAAAATATAGTAATTCAACAAATAATTGTTTAATTGATACCCAAAAGCTAATTAACTGCTACTTGCATACTGATGACTTTAATGACCAAAAAATGTGTAAAAATAAATAAATAATATTACTTTTTTAATGCTGACTTTGATGGTTAATATTATGCAGTTCATCACTTTAAGTTAGATTTTTTGAATCATCATTATAAATGACAATTTTGATTAAATATCTACTGTTACTATCTATAAATAAAGAATCAAATTACTTTTATGTATACAGAACTTTAAATGCCCAAAAGGAAACAAAAGATTCAAAATTCTTACTGAAGGCACGTTGAGATTAATGTGCAGATACTGAAAAAGAATATTTTAAAAAGAGTAAATCTGCTTAAATTGCAAGGATATGAGCAAACATTCATGAAGACACTTTTTCTTCTGGAAACTCTTTGTACATAAACTTTAGGTGCATGAGGTAAATTTTAAACCTGATGCACTTGTATGAGATAAATGTTTAACATCATTTCCTTAGTGTTCAACATCACAACCATTAACTTCAAATGCACTTAATACAGCAATCAAATTGTCAAGGTCTGGTTTCCAGAAAAAAAAAAAAAAAAAAGTTTTGTCACAGAATTCAAATTATTTTTGTCGCTGTAAAACGAAGCAGGTAAAAGCTTCATTTGGGGCTAAGTCTGGTGAATACAGCATATGAGGGAAAAGCTAAAATTTATATTGCTAAAAGGAAGTCTGGAAAATATGAGTGCTATGTGCTGGACAAATTTGTAAAAGCAACACACAGTTGCTGAGTTTGCCACATATTTTCTTTTAGGACTTGTCAAAGATGAGTCAAGAGGTTAGCATATAAACATCAGTTACGGTGGTATTAAGGGGCATATAAATAATAAGCTGAGGTTTTTCTTTTTCCAAAAGAATAATGCACCAAATCCAATCAGCAGATTTCTGGATTTTTAATTTGTCGAGTTAGGAAGATCTGCTACATTTTCACAGCATGCTCTTGTTTCATTGCTGGGTCACAAGCTGAAGCAATGCTTCATCTGTCACTATCCAAGAATAAATTTTTTATCAGTATTTATTACAGAAAGTTATCAAGAATATTGAACCCAATGTCTCTTCAGTTGAGGCATAAAAATTCTGGCACAGATCTCAACAATCCCAGCTTTTCCTGCAGAATTTTCCCTCTACTACACTTCCATAACAATTTGAGAAACTATCGCATAAGCCTTGACTTTAGCCCACATTTCTTCTACAGTCATATCCACACTGTGTCCTGGTCTGGGATTATCTTCGAGATATACTCTCCCTTGAATAAATATCACATAAGCCTTGACTTAGCCCACATTTCTTTAACAGTCATATCCACACTGCGTCCTGGTCTGGGATCATCTTCGAGATATACTCTCCCTTGCCTAAATATCACATCTCACCTTTCAACAGTACCATAGGAAGGTACCCTATCACCATACAGTTCAATCATGCACTCATGAATACTTACTTGTCATGGCTTTTTTTTTTTTTTTTTTTTTTTTTTGCCAAGAACTTAATTATTGAACAATGTTTGATATTTTCAATATTAAATGATATCACTGATTGATATTATTAACAGCCTCTCAAAAATCAAATAAATAACACTTGTTGCATGTACTCCCCTTTTAGTAGGTCCAAAAAATATTGCAATCCTTTCCTCGCGGTTTGTAATCCTACAAGTATTGCATCACACTTAGGCTTAAAACTTGAACATTCCTCACACCAACACACACACATATGCATAATATTACATTTATGGGGGATATTTGAACATTTGCTGAATGAGAGCACAGAAACACCTAAAAAAATCTTGCAACAAATTATTTAAAAGAAAGAAATTAAAAATTTATGTGTGAATGAAAGGTTAAAAGTGTGTTCATTCAAAAATATTTTCATAAAGTAAGCAATAGTAAATAAAACCTACCCTTTACTTGAAAAGGATAATCATTTGAAGCAAATCCAAGGTTTTCTGAAACTGCTCTTTTGACAACATTTATCACAATATATGCAAGTCTCGTCCCAATAAAATCATCATAAAATAACAAGAACATATAAGAACCAACAACTGATGATCCGACTACAGTCATCTAAAAGAAAACAGTACAACACATAATGATAAGAACGAGATAGCATTAGTAATACATTGGTTTCTAAAAGTAGATAGACACACAGTTTTTATTTACAACTATCAAGCAGTATAATGGCCAGGAAGAGACTATGCCATGCATAGACACTGCTTTTAACATGGGATGTAATGCTGGTGCCAGCCAGCTGTGTCTACAATGCAATTAAAATACATTGTTTAATGACGTATATTTACAGAAACTTAATATTCTTCTAAAGCCAGAATAGCCATCAATTTAATTAAAAGAATTTTTGAAATGTTGATTTCAGTATTCAATATTATATATTCTTTTATACAGACTGTTCAATACAAAAACTACTCTCCCTTAAAGGATTGAAGATACAGAGGTGAAATAGAATTTACAAACTGTTATATATATATGGTTTCCCCTTCAGCTACATAAAATATTCAGATGATAGTAATTCTTGAAAATCTTACACTGGATTATTGGATTGCAGATAACATTATGGTAAAAAAATGTATTTGAGAACCTTGCTAATATATCATGCAGCAAACAGTATGCCTGTGTTGCATAAAACAAGTGACCTATTGTCTTGTGCAATAACAACCTATACCATCATGCAAAGCTGATGGGAAATCTGGCAGTTTCAAATGAAACTGGGATCCATACTTACACCAGAGTGTTACCAGGCGCACATCCATAAACTATCAGCTTCAAGACAGAAACAAAACTTATCATTGACAATAAGAGTGAACCATTTATTAGCTTTGTTTTTGCAATTTTAGCACCAAAGCTAGCCATTGCAATTCTCACCAGGCCATATGAGAACTGCAATGGCTAGCAGTCTGTACAAAGGCTGCCTATTGTGAACTCGTTTTACAGTCTAGATCACTATGGCAACATCTATGTTCCACAATGCGATTTAATTTAGATTGTAAAACACTGAATATTGCATGCAATTCTAGGTGGTGGTGACTGCACTTCCTTCTGGCTGGGACAAGAAGAAAATTAAACTATTAGGAAAATCAATATAAAAAATGCTACATTAAGACTGCATTATGTAACTGGCTCTTAGTTCAGATGCAATTCAGTACTTTCAGCATTTGTATCAACTGCAGAAAACATAAATCGGGTGAATGAAAGTAACTGAAAAAATAATAATTCAATAATTCAAAATGTATAGACAGCAACACAATGCAGTTTTCACAGAAATGCACAGAAAGACATGTATTTTTTTTAAATAATGAAAGATTTAATTACCAGACTAGTTACATTTTTCACCCTCAATTTTGCTTCAGTTGTGTCAGAAGTTTGCACAGTGACACAGCACAGTTCTCAAAGCAGCGAGGATTACAACTGTTCAATATGATGGCTGTCAGACATAGCATGTAACATTTTACAGCATCTAAGAGAGTTGAGTTGTAATTCCAATCACACGATGGTGAATAACTTCTTTGAATATGACTAATAAAGTCGGCCATCCTCTGTCCACCTGTGACTTAAATTAAAAATGTAACTATTCCAGCAACGTAATTTTTCATTATTAAAAAATATCCTTTCTTTATGTGTAAAACCACATTATGTTATTATCTATACTTTTTGAATAATTTAATTTTTACTCTTTCAGTTAATTTTAGATCACCCCATATCTAAAAGTATATTTACAGTAGAAAAATCCTTAAAATTTATTTAAAAAGCAGTTACACACATTTTATACTAAGTATGTAGCTTCAGTAACAAGATCCTCAAACTTCATATAGCCAACGTAAACCTCATTCTCAATAACTACCCCCATGACTAGCAAAATTTTGAGTCAATTTTAAATAAAGAAATGAATGTATTTTAAACAGTTCTGATATACTAGATGTTACATGCATTTTTATACTATGTAAGTTTAGTAGCAAGATCATATCTTTTCATCCATGGTTAAGAAACATAAAGAAACACACACACACACAAAAAAAGATTTCATTTAACTATTTTTACATAACATCTATATCAAAACTGTTTAAAAATACATTCATTCCCTTATTTAAAGCTGACTCAAAATTTTGCTGCTCATGGGAGTGATTGTTCCATGGCCTAATATTTTTTTAATTCAATTCAGGAGTTAAACCTTTTAACTAATTTCTAAACTGCACCAATTTTGTTATCAGCAAATATGAAAATAAAAGGAGAAAGTTATAATTTGTTTTACTATCATAATATGAGTTTCAACACACTCTTACTATAAGATTTTTATGCTTTAATAAAAAATAAATTCAAGTTTTTCAAAGTCTATTTACAGAACTTTTTCATAAAAATACTTTTGTATACATCTGCTAATCCACACTGTACATTGCTGAATTTTAAATGACATCAAGAAAAGAGAGAACTCTGAGCATCTAATTGTATTTAGTGACTGATGGATAATTCCTGCAAGAAGAGAGTGGAGTGATATTGGATTACTGTACATATTTCGTGTATTAAAGTCCGATGACTACTCCCACAAAATTTCATGCTTTCATTTTCAACAATACTTTCTGAAACATGGAAAGACTAAGAAAGAGTTTATTTCAATCCCTATGATTAGGAGAGTCCATTCCCAACATGTAATGCCTTTATATACGGTTTGAGCGAAAATAATTTCGGGCAAGATATTATCCTGTCTCAAAAAACAAAACAGTATGGCAGATAACTTCACCACTAGATGTCACCTCTAATATCTCTATAAAACTACCTTATAAGCTGCTCTGAAATTGTGTTCAACCTGTTTCATGACTGACATTATGACTAACTAGAAGGAATAAAGAATTTACATGAAAATTTCTTTCAAACTGTGAATGAAGGCAACACAGACTTCTCAAACATAATAAAAAGTAGATGAAGGTATGCATCATATTCACCTACTAGTTGGTCCTGCGGTAAAAGATGGAATAATATCCACTGACAATAATGAAAGTTCTTGATGCCCTTCATTCAAGATTACCGAAGTAAATGTGGCAAGTATCCATAAATAAAACTTTGAAGATCACAGTTAATAACTCTGTGAAGTCTTCGGTTTGTTATTCAAGATTTGTCAGCAAGTCTTAATTGATGAATGGAAAATAAGCTGCAATGCAGCAAAATATATATGTTTTCTGACAAGTGAATAAAAGAAACAGCAGGTTTATATGTGCAGAGTTCAGTGATATGAAAATGACCCAAACTACATTTCCATGATCATTACTGAAAATGAATGACCTGAAACAACAATCAATTCAATAGAAAGCATCCATTAAATATATATCATTTAGACTGAATTAATTTCACAGTAACATAACACTACTGATTTTTTTTTTTTTTTTTTACATTAAAGGGCTCAGCTACAAGGAATTTTCTTCATAAAGGCGAACAATGAAAAAGACTTCTAACTACAATGCTTTGAGGCATCTCAGTAAACAGATTAAATGGACATACCTTGAAATGAAGAAAAACAGATATCTTACATTATACTATGCATGGCTCATTTTTTCTTCAATGTCCATAGGTTTTTGACTCCTGCAATTGTCATTCTCTTTTACTCACCCCACTTCACTATTCTGCAATTACTCTTCACTTTCGAAAATTAAATAAAGCTCGAAAGTTTTGACAGCCAAAGACACTAAAAGGATTATGCAGAATAACCATCAGATACGACAGAAAATGAATTCTATGAATGTTTCCAAGCACTCAAATCATGGTGGGGCCAATGCCTTAAAGCTGCAAGGATGGATGATTGGTTTGGTTCATTTAGTTGATTATGGCAAAGCATGTAAGGGATATCTACCTAATGGGAGGGATACTTTTGTGGAATACTTTCTAAGGTAAACTGTTCGTATCCAATTTATACATGGGGAAACCACATAAACAGCTATGCAGCCAGCCTGTTCATGTAGAATTAGACCCAGGACAAATCACCAGTGTTCAGCGACTTTACTGCTCAGCTGTTAGTGGGCCCTCAGAACAGATGAAGTCAATAAATGAATCATATAAGGTATAACTTTTAAAATATACATTCCAGAACCTTTGTTTCCCATCTTACATTTTATGTCCACTCTACTTCTAATTTTACCTCACAGACAAGAGAGTATCCCAGCTCAGATTTCAAAGGACTTAAAGAAAGTTTTGAAATACATATGCAAAAAACTACCAATTCACAAAATTCCAGGATGTGGCCATTTTTTTGGATGAGTCTACTTGGTGAATTCAAGAATTAAGTTCTGCAAATAAATAATACTTTCTAAAATATAAAGATGCTAACATATGCAAGTAAATGTGGTAACATTTATGCACACTGAAAAACGAGCGACATAAAAAAAACAGATTTACATGCTGAACTAAAACTGCACACGTAAAACTAAATATTATCTGAAAGCTAATTTTTTTATAATAATCATTATCTTAAAAAACAATTAAATAAAAAATAATTGCATTTAAGGCAAAAATAAGCATATTTCAAACACACACACAACAAAAAAAGGTACATAACAATGTTTTACATTTTCTGAGCAAGTTTTGTACAAAATATATATATAAGAGAAAGAAAGATAATAATAGCTATCATAAAACAGTAAAATGCATATGAAGCATTGCATGTGTGAGGTTTATCTATTTATTTTTAACTAATAGTTCATTTTAAGTTTTAAGTTTTAAGTTCATTTTAATAGTTCATTTTAAGACTTTCCTAGTACTCTTTTTTTTCACCGACGCTTTTCATGCCAGAATGTAAGTGAGATAGCAAGAGTTTATTCAGATTAAGGTAGAATGAAATGCTATTTAAGCAAGAGTTTTGGAAGTTATTTTTAGAGTGTGTCTGCCTATTCATGGCCACGTTGTGCTGTGATAGGCTTGTCTCGACGGTTTACTACAAACCAGAGCTCTTGCTACACATTAAAGTATTCTGTGAGCCATTAGGCTAATGTACCACACCTTGAAATCAACATTTGTTGTTATTCTGTTAGGTCATAAGTGAGTGGCTTCTTGTAAGCCAAGGTGGGTCATTGTTAATTTTATGTTTGAATAAAAGGGCCTTATATACCCCTCTTCTGATTTCTGTTTTGTTTTACAAGGCTAGAAGATAATTCTTTAAGAGTCCTTTTAAAGGTTTATATTCCTAAAGAGACATAGAACATGTTATAGAAAAGTTACCAGAGTGTTCTGCAGAAAATGTATAAAGCTGTGATTTCTAAAATTTGAGCACTCACAAGCAGAAATTTCTGCAAAATTTTAATCATTATAATTTTTAGTTTTCTTTCTTCTAAATTAGTCCAATCCCCTATTAAAATTAATATAAGCATAATATAAGCAGGTTTCTATTTATTAAAAGAAACATGAAAAAAAAAAGGCATTTTTTCTTTAAACATATCTGTCTCGGGCTTAAGCTACAAACTTGAGAACTAGATTAATGATCAACATATTAAATACTTTTCTATTGCTATTCAGTTTTCTTTCAGTCTACTTTTAAATAAGACACAGGTTACGGGTTTAAAAAATATATTACATACCACAGTGGGATTTAATAAAAACAGCACAGCTACAAATAGTGTCCCAGAAGACAATAATGCCCAGAAATTTTTACTGTTCAAGAATATTTCAAAATTTCCTATAAATAGAAAATTCAGTATTTATAAGAACTTATCAACTGTATGTTAAAGTCAATATATATATCAATAATTTAAAAAGTACATAGTAATACTTTGTAATTAAATGTGGTATAATCCAAATATTTAATATGAATTACAAAAGATAAAACCCTTCTATTTAATTTTTTTTAATATGCAAATTTTCTTCATCCTCCTTAAGCAAATACACAGTATAAAAATATTTCATTGCCTTCACTGCTACATATAATATTTAAAAAGCTTCATTTCAGAAAAAGTGCTATAAGACTATCTAACACTAGCAGTTCAGCCACATTAAAATACTGGCTAATGACTGGTTATATGGATATATATTCATGGTTTTCTCCCATATGGAATATAAATATCAACCAGTTTTTTTAACAAAATCTTCGACAGAGATGTTTTTTCCATTACACCTTCTTAAGCTTTCTCATGTTAACTATAAACAAACAGAAACAGTGCTAGATTTATTTATCAGTACAATAATTTTTATTTGCTTAACAATTGACAAAATACTAACATCTAATAACCAAATGGAAAGCATCTTCATTTAATTCTAACCTCATGCATTTATTATATAAAATCAAAATATTCAATAAAACATTCATCACTGAATGCAATTAAGGGAAACTCTCTACTTTGTCTTCTTTATTTAAAATTTTATATTATTTTGATAGCCAAACTTAGAGAAAATTATGATTTTAACATATTGAAAAATAATCATTTAAATCAAAACTGTCACATTATTAAACTCATTAAATTAAAACTGATAAGTCTGAGCTTTTTCTGTTAATTGATCACAGATTTTCTTCATCTGCACATGAATACTTGTTTCAGTGGTAGCCAGTTTTATAAAATTTCTCCCACAGATTGGAACTCAGGTCATTCAAATTTGACCATGTTTGTCTTGGACGAAATAAAATACTATTTGCAGCTAATTTTTTGTGGTTCAGTTAATCCAGAAAAAAGGCAGAATTAAAAAAATTAAACATTCTTTCAACAATCAATTACACTTCAGCTATTCAGTCACAGGTAAGAACAGCCTGTTGATAAGGGTACTTATGTAGTCTAAACTTATTAAAATTTCCATAATCACAAGGAATCTGTTTTGCTCCAATGAAGTCATGATCAAAAGGATACAAAGGGATGCTAATGGTCTCCAAACCTTCTTCTCCTAGTACAACCTACTGAGAGTGCTTTCTCATTGATAGATTTTGAGTACTTCAAAGACAGCATAAGCTTAAATATCTATAGTTTAGCAAGGATTCAACCCCAAATCCATCACATACTGATAGCTTGCAATATTATACTAACAGTGACGACCTACATTAGAAAACTGAACAACAAATTCATATTTACTCACCAAGAACAACAATTTCACTTTCATTTTAATACTATTAATTTTACTATATATGTTGCATATAAAAAAGGAATGATTAAGTTCCATTTCCTTAAATACTGATCTTAGACACTATTTCCAGTTATAAAGTTTCTCAGAATAAGGAGCAGAATTTCATGGAAAAAATTTGAAGTCAATGGGAAGTGTTCTGTAAAATAAAATGTAACTTTTTGTAAACTAGCTTTCACATGTTAAGCACATGAGAGTAAGAGCAACAAAATGGAAAATTAAAGCTTTAAACACTAAATTGTACATGAACGAAAACAAACATTACATGTGAAGATGAAAACAATATTAAACTTTTGAAAATCATATAATGGTACCACTTTTGAGCCAGTAAACGAATCGATTTTAAAGCTAAAAACAAAGAAAACTTACATTATTAAGATATGCAACTACCTCGGATCTTCACTTTAACTTGGATCACCACCTCTGATCACAAATGCTCGATCTTGCATGGCTTGCCAAGAAAGTAAAATTAATAGGCACACAAAATCAAGTTTCGGTGATTTTCAACTGCCTTCAGAAAGATTTTGTGATGTGCATATTGATCTTATTGGACCCCTACCACCATCATGGGAATATTTACTGTCTCACTTGCATTGACCGGTACTCTAACTGGATGGAAGTGATTCCACTTAACAACATTTCAGCAGACACAATTGCTAAAGCATTTTATTCTAATTGGATTTCAAGATTTGGGACGCCCTGTCGCCTAGTCACAGATCGTGGACTGCAGTTTAGTTCAGAGTTGTTCAACAACTGATCAAAAATGTGTGGAATAAAATTACAACATACAACGGCTTACCACCCCCAAGCAAATGGGAAGGTAGAGCGCCTCCATAGGTCTTTGAAGACCGCACGTATGGCCCACAATAGCCTGGCCTGGACTGAAACACTTCCAACTGTTCTTCTTGGCTTACGCACAGCTATGCAGGAAGACTCTGCATGTACCATTGCCCAAATGGTTTACGGACAAAATATACGATTACCTGGAGAATTTTTCCACGATAACACAACTCCTACACCACCTGATATTTTTGTCAAGCAGCTAAAAGAAACTATGGAAAAAACTGGACCAAGAACAGTATCTGATAAATATGTCCAAAAAATATTTGTCCCTAGGGACTTGAAAACAACATCACGTGTTTATTCGCAAAGACAACCCCCTTCGATGGTCCTTTTCTAGTGGTTGACAAAAAAGAAAAGTATTTTACAGTAAAAATTAATCACAAAGATGTTATAGTGTCCATTGATAGATTAAAGCCTGCATATTTCTTGCAAACACCAGACATTACTACGAAGCAACCAACAACGTCAATTAGACAACCTGTCAAACCTTCAACAGACTTACCTCCTAAAATTAACAAGTTTCCTGCAAAACAGTCGCGTGCAGGGCATACAATAAAACCCCCTGTGCGATTTCGGGATTAGTATTTATATGTATCAGTTTTTTTTTTTTTTTTTTTTTTTTTTTTTTTTTTTTTTGTAAATAGTGTGTTTTAAAGGTAATATTATGCTCTACTGTAACTTAGTTACTGAGAAGGGAGTACTGTTGTGGCTTGAACTTATACAGAAGCTTTAAATACTGATTAATATCTTTTTATTTGTTTTTTGTTATTTTCAGAATGGCAACAAAAAGATCATTCAATTTTTGTTGTTCTTGGAATGGCAATGAATTAATGATACTGTTCTAAAGAGTTGTTTACATTTGCTAAAAATGAAATAAAGATTATTTTTGATTTAAAACGTGCATTGACGTTATTTGATGAAACAGAGTTGTAAAAATAAAGATTATTTTGGAGTCAGAGTCAATACACTTGTATTACCATGTCCAATCATAGTATTTAATTTCATAGTATTATAATTTCTCTCAATGTAACGAAGATAATAGCCGCAGTTCATAAGTTCTGAATTTTCTAGAAAAATATTTTATTCAATATTTATTCATTAAACTGTCATACTTCTTTGCATTCTAGTATACCCATGAATATGAGTAGTAAATCGAAGAAATCGAAAACTTCAATGAAGAATGGGAACTCGATTACATTTTTACAGTGTTGAATGATAAATGTTGTTGTTTAATATGCTTTACCTCAGTAGCCATTGCTAAAAAGGGTAATCTGGAGAGACATTTTTTAGATTTACTTAACAAGTATCAAACAGATTATCCACCAAATTCTGAACTGAGAAAACAAAGTTAGGGATCTTAAAACTCGATTAACAAATCAACAAAGCATTTTTAAAAAGCCAAGGTTGAAGTCACACGCAGTAATTACTGCATCATTCAAAGCTATCTTTTAGCAATAAAATGTAAGCCATTTTCCGACAGTGAATTTGTAAAGGAAATTGTTTTATAAATGCCAACAATTTTAAGAACAAGAGTGAAATTTTTGCTGCAATTCAAGATCTACAATTGCCTTGAAATACAGTGATGCGATGAATTGAAAGGATGAGTGAGAATGTAAAAGAACAGTTACATAAGGATATTAAAAGATGTTTTTATGTTCCTCTTCAGTGTGCTGAATTGACAGATCTAAGTGATACGGCACAATTACTTGTTTTCGTTCATATGGTTTATATGGATTTTACATCTAAAGAAGAATTGTTGGGTATGATTTCTTTGAAGGAAAGGACTAGAGGTGTAGACATATTCAAAGCCTTTAAAAGCTTGCTCAATGATCTGAAAGCATCACTCTTTAAAAATAGTCTCAATAACAATGGATGGCACGGCTACAATGATAGGTAGCATAAATGGATTTATAGCCCTAATGTCAAAAGGAAGACGAATTCCCTGCCTTTTATAGGTAGCACTGCATAATTCACCAGCAAGTGTTAGCTAGCAAGAGACTAAACACAAAAGAGGTAATGGACATAGTATTTAAAATTGTTAATTCAATTCGAGAAAGTTCCCGTAAAAGGCGTCTCTTCCAACTGCAGCTCGATGAAGGCCAACCTGTATTACTACATACCAATGTCAGATGCCTAAGCAGAGGTAAATTTTTGCAGCAATTTCATGATTTTATTGCCTGAAATTATAGATTTTCTTCACGAATAAGATGGAAGCTGTGAAAATTTTAATCATGAAACTTGGCTTAGTGACTTAGCATCTCTTACTGATTTTACTTAAATATTAAGTCATTTAAACTTAGAATTACAAAGTAAAAATAAAACAGTAATTGATACGATCAGCTGTATAGACACATATAAAACAAAATTAATTTTGCTAATAGAAGATCTGCAACAAAATAATCTGAATCATTTTCCAAATATGGTGGATAACCAACAAAAAGATAAAAATATTAATTACAAGATCGACAAATATGTCTCGGAAATCCAAAAGGTAACTGAAGATTTTGAGATAAGATTCCAGGATTTTGAAAAAATTAAAGAAATTGTGGAATTCATTTGCTTTTAAAAAAGATTTAAGTGTGAAACACATTAGCCAAAAAATTTCAGACATGATTCATATGGACCAAAAGGCATTAGAAAATGAAATTATACTTTTACAATTTAACTTAATCTTACAAGCCCGAAAATATGAAGAAGATTTCTGGAAATATGTCAAGCGAGAAAAATATCCCAGTATCACAAAATGTAGTGAATATATCTATTCTTGTTTCGGATCTATATACCTATGGTCAATCGTCATTTTCATACTTGAAACCAACAAAGACTAAACAACGTTCTATCCTGACTACTTCCCATACTGAAGGCTCATTATTATCTTTGTCAGGATATACACTTAATTATGATTCCTTGGTTAAGAACATGCAAACTTAGTATTCCCATTGATGCTAAGGCAACAAGCTAAATTCTAAATCTGTCTTTATCTGTAGCTACTTTGAATTAACAAATATTGGTAATAATTACCCATGCTCTTTTTCCCTTTGACAAGAGTTTTTGGGATCTTTAAATAATTATTGTTGTTGGTTTTTACGTAGGTAGATAAACCTTATATCTATATTTCGGTACGGGGTATGCTAAGCGAGCTACTGATAGATTAGCAAAAAGTAAGCCATGTTATTCTTTCACGATAAGTTCTCCCGGCCCAAAAAAATGCGAAAGTGAAGTATTGAAATCAAATTATCAGCCATACGGTGCATTTTACAACAACTTTTTCATATTAACGAACAAATAGTACAACAATTTATATATGACAGTAGATAAAAAAAATTAAATTGCAATTTAGTAAAAATCTATCTTGAAAAGTGTAGGAAAATCGAATTTTAGGTACCGCAAGTACGGAATGCTGCTATTAAAAGTCTCTGGGTCTGGAAATGTATTTTCTTCATAAGCATATATCTCGAAAACTTAATAAGTGATTTAAAAAATAGTTTTGAACGTATATTTTACTTTTCTACCCATACTTCGCTGGAATGCACCTTATACTGAAACACAGTGTATAAATATCGTTTGTATTTTAACCTTTCTCCCCCCTTAGACTACACCTATGAAAACAAGTCGATTGTGACACACTTTTAAGATAAAAAGTTGATCTCATATACAAAAAAGTTGGCCACCCCTGCATTATTTGACTGAAGATGAGCAAAAATGTCTTACAGTACAAAATACACATACTTTACGAGCTATGAGATGTTGAACGTAGTGAGAAGTTAATGCAAAACCTAACTCTCTGCACTGTGCCAAGAATGTAAAAACATGTAACTTAACAATGAAATGATAGGCCAACAGGATTCCACAGATGATGTGCAGGAATAATCAAAGAATAATTATCCCACAATGGTAGTGGGGTAAGGTATGAAACTTCAGGTGTAACAAGCAAAATCTTTCATATAGAATGGATTACAAAGACAATTAGGAAAGATTATATTATGCATGTAAATGTTGCAATAAGTCTCAAGAAATCCATTACCAGAAACAGAAGCAGTATATCATTGCTGCAGCCTGGCAGACATATTCCAGAATGACTGGTGTATTATGAATCCATTTAACTAAGATCTTAGTATGCTTCAATAATTTGTGAAAAAGAGATTTGGATGTTTACAAGATGTTGGAGTTCATCTCAGGATATCAAATGGGAATAGGATGCATATGTAGCTAGCCTCAACATTTTGTTACTGATCTTCAGACATCTGTAGCTCATAAACTATGAATTTGCTGATACATGTTCAAAGGATACTTCTCAGTTACATTCAGCAGTTAAATGCATTTGGCAATTATTCTAAACACTGAATCTTTTAAATACTCATTTAAGGAAGCTTGGGTATTAGCTGCATCGTTTAAGTGTGTTCTATAAAAGTTAATCATTCCTAAAAATTTATGAAGTTCATGAATAGTTTTAGGATGTTTGTAATTTGTAATGGCTTGTACATTTTCCGTAAGAGGTTTTGAGCTGTTTGATGAATCAAACATCCTAAAAATTCTACTTTGTTCACTCCCATCACTGATTTTGATGGTTTGATATGTAGAACATACTGTTAAATTATATTAAATACCTCCATAAGGTGTTCTTTATGCTGCACCTCAGTTTCCGACACTGTTAGGATGTCATATAAACATGGAAAAGAGAGGGAGCATTTCTTAAGCCAAAACTCATTATGTTAAATTAAAAAAGTCCAATGGTATTACTATCCGAGTGTTTTGTTTATCTTCTTCTGCTATTGGAATTTGGTAAAGGGCTTTAAGTAAATCATGTTTAGAAAATATCTTCTTGCCTTTTAAAAGTGATTAAAGTCTTTGATGCTGGGTAAAGCTTAGCTATTTGGTACTGTGATATAATTTAAGCAGCGATAATCTCCACTTGGTCTTGCCACCTTACTATGTTTTTGTGACTAAATGAAGTGGATGTGCGCATGGTGACTTCGAAGGTCTGATAACATCGTTTTCAAGCATTAAGTTGAATTCCTGTTTGCCTATTTCTAATCTTTAATGCTTAACATTGTGTGTTGTTTTAGAAATTAGTAAATCAGGTTTTGTTATTTCCTGAAATTGTGTCAAAATATTTTTTTTTTTTATAAGGTGCTTATATTTGATTCATCGGCTGATGATATAATTTCACCAATAATGTTCAGTTTAGTTTCACCATCAATTAGTTTTTGTTTTTAATATCAATCAATAAATTAAACCGGTTAAGAAAATTTGCACCCAAAATACCTTTAATGACTCTGATAAATGGCCATTGAAAATCACGATAAAGTCCCAAATCACGAGTTTTTGTGTCCGAAACACAGGATTTCAGTACCATTTGCAGCACAAATTTTATAGTTGCCATTTATTTTTCATTACACTATGATGACACTTATGATTTTCCAGAAAGCATCTTGATCCGAAAGTAAATTGGTAATAACACAGTTTACCATCTGCATTGCAACACCTCAGACTTCCACCTCTAGATAATGATCTGTTATTTCTTTCTGCATTACAATTTCTTTCATTCGGCTGGCAATACAAATGGAGCTCTTCAATCTGCCATTCCAACGAAGATATCTTCTCCAGTAATTGTGAAATGTTAATTTGCGACGTGCTTAAATTCTTAACATCAGTTGAATGAGCTTCATGACTTCAGTTCAAAAATCTTATCAGCCATAATCGCCGATTTACTAATATGGTATGGCAACTTTTCAATCCACAGTGTTTCTAATACCATGTCAGACATATCATTGGTTACCAAGGATTCCATTTTTTGTAATAGATGGCTTGGTTTCGTGTCGCTAATTTCAATGCCAGTCAAAGCGTGTTTGATAAGTTTGTTTTCACTTTCTTTGAATACATTTTATAAATGCTCTTTTGTCAACGAATATTGATTTACAGCCTTATCAATTATTATGTCTCATAGTGTCTAGATATTCAGTTTCTATTTGTGAGATAATGTAGATAAATTTGGTATCTTTATTAGTTATACCATTAATTTTAAACTATGCTTCTATATGATAAAACCAAAAGAATTTTTATACTTACCTTCCTAATTTAAAAAAAAATTAGCATTACTTGATTGTTTTTCTGTTTTCTTGCTATATGCCATAATATTTACTGTTTCTAACTTGGGTCACCAACGAATATAACGGTTGCTACATCACAAAAACATTATCTATCTGTTTAAGAATAGCCTTTTATTATTATATTTTAAAGAAAACTATTTATTACTTAAGACACTGATCTTTTGAAACATTGTTATTCTAATAAATTTTTTCCACCACTGGCATTTTCAGTCTACGTAAAGTTGTACAAACAAAAGCTTATACAGTCAACAGTCGTTAATCCGGACTTGTCGGGACTTCGGCGATTCCGGATTATCGATTTTTCTGGATAATAGATCATCAGTTTAAATCTCGCAAGATGGCATGCAGAAATTTTAAAATTAAAAATATGAAAACGTAATTTATGAAATAAAGAACAATTATGATCTAAAGGGTATCAAAATTTACAAAAAAAAAAAAAAAAAAAAAAAAAAAAAAAAGCTTAATATTTATTTGTTTACTTTATTAAACATTTCTTTCAATGTAAGTTGCTTCATTTTATGTGATAATACTTTCTCTTTAATTCTATAAACAGACATAATTTCTTGTTCAGTTACAAAGTTTCGCTGTTCAAGTCCCGTTAATTGCTGTGCCGAGAATACCGACTAACATGTCAATCGAAATTTTTTCGTTTTCACTAACCTCTCTGTCACATTCTTCATGTCTTTATCCATTTTTTTGCAGCAATTCCACTTTTTGTTTGATGAACATCGAAACATACTTTCGTTTTGTACGATCCTTTGAGAGCTCCAGAATTGGAAATTCTATTTGACATAACCGAAAGTTCAAGTTTACTTTTATAGTATTGCTCTTACAGTCTGCAAAAATAATAAGCCTGATCCAATTAAAAAATTAAGGAACAACGCAATCATCAACATTAACTGAAATCGATAATTATATAATTTTAGCTTATACCGTCCGTACATAAAGCTCGCACGCGAAAACGTATTCTGCGCTTGCGCACAGTCATATGCGCACACGTAATCGCCTATGCGCATGTGTCAATGCGGCGCATGCACAGAAAATTTTTAGCTTTGAGGTCCGGATTATAGATCATTCCGAATTATGCGTGTCCGAATTAACGACTTTTGACTGTATATTGTTTGCAGAGCTTACAAACTCACTAATCATCCTCTCAGAGGAATGTTAACTAGGAGAATGTGCATGATGATCCCCTCAAAGCTGACCTCAAGTACAGATCTCAGTAAGCATAACAAACAATACTAGGAGAAGGTACAACATAAAAGAAGAGGTAAGATTTCATGTTTATTTAAATAATAAAATTTTTATTTTAAAACACTTACCAACAGGTGTATAAAATATTGCTGCTGTTACTAAAAATCCAAAGACAAATCCAATAAGTAGCAATGATATTAGAGAAATATATGACCATAACCACATGGCCAACCAGATTCCAGCACCAATGAGTCCAATGATTACAGAAAGCTCTAAAGTAGCTAGTACAATTAAACAAAATACTTAATTAAAAAATATATATGAATAAGTCAACAAAAACAATGTGTTCAGCAACATTACTAACAGTGTGATAAAAGGTTAAACAAGTATGACCCACGAAATTCTCAAAGCAAACAATAAAAATAAACTGAAAAATCAAAAGCAGCAATATTTAAAGCAATGTTTTTCTTCTCAGTTTTTTCATCGTCAATACTTTGCATATTAACTGATGCTTAAATATCAACAATTAAAATGAAAAGGGAATAAAACTGGAAAAACCAAACATCTTGCCAGTCATAACTGATAAAAATGTTCTGTACAGAACACATAGACAATAACAACAATGCATTAAAAGTAACAGTCATTATTTGAAACTGTTCTTTTCTCCTAGAAAAATTTCACAACATAAGAGGTTATTATTTTTTTTTTAATTTAATTCTAATTTGACAACATGCAAGATGAAGGATAATCAGTTTCTAGTTACTCCTTTTCTGAAATTTCTGTCTAAACAAAAAATTAGATTCACTTTAAAAAGTCATAACTCACATAAAACTTAAAATTCTTCAAACTTTTTATTACATACTTCTATTACTCCAAATATATGAACATACTTTTTTCCGATATCAATACAATAAAATGCAGAAGAATTAAATGATGTTAGTGGAATAAAAGCAACTGATATGAATTGACTGGAACAAAAGACTGGTAAAAGGGAGAAACTGCATATTAGAACTTCTAATTTCACAAAATAAATAAATAAATAAATAAAAAATCCCTGATTTATTCCACCCAACAGTTATTTGTTCATGGTCTTTTATGTAAGCATTTACACTGACTATAATCAAATTTTATACTATTTTTTCATACTTTAGACAATATGGGACATATATCATAGATAAAAATGTTTCTCTCACACAGATTATTTGTAATATACTTTGTAATAACCAATATAAAAACTTCTAATAAAAAAATCTGCTAAGTTTTATTCTTATATTATTATCAGGTACTATTTTGAAATTATTTTTTCTTTCATTCTCTTATTTCTGATTCATTCTTCAGAAAAATATATATATGAATTGAAAATAAAAGAAGAAACTGCAGATATTGAGTAGGTAGTAGAATGTAGTTAAATATAATTCCAGCAACTGCATGACTGTCTAAAGAAAATTTTAGAAGCCTTGTCAACTTGCCACTCTGTTGAAGCTGAAAGATTGCCAAATTTTTCAGTCGGTAAGATTTATCTTTACCATATTTCTGTGCGAATTTTAGTTTTAGCTCTCCAGAACAGGAATCTAGGTGCTTTGCTAATTTGCACAGAACTGCTTGTTGCATTTATAAATAAGTTTAGATGATTACCAGCCATAAACTGCTAATGTTAGTCTGTAAATTATCTCTCAGTTTTGTATAAACAAAGTTTAGGTTTCCGATAAAAATTTGATTAGTTTTATCTTTATTGTGTCTATTTGGTATAGCTATGTTTCATTACAGCAATAATTTGCCCAACCAGCAGCTAACTAAGCTACACAATTAAAGACTAGGTCTTATATGCCATTTTTTTCTTTTAAATTAAGCACATTAAAAAAAAAATGTTATAAACCCACATAAGTAAAATACATCCATTATTGTATTCTTAAACAAATAAAAAAACTTAAGACTAGAATTCTAGAATGATAAAATAATTGCCCAGTCAGCATCTAACTAAGCTACACTGAAAGGAATTAAAGGCTAAGTCTTAAATGTCTTTTTTTTTTTTTTTTCTTTTAAATTAAGCACATTTTAAAAAAAAGCATGTGATAAACCCATTTAAGCAAAATACATCCATTATCTCTTAAGCAAATAAAAAAACTTAAAACAAGAATTCTAGAATGATAAAACTGGAAACCACAATCTTATTGATGTCTCTTTCTAGACCTTTATCAGAAATCTTAGAAAGCTAAAACTTAGTAACAAGCCCATTTCTCGGAAAAGAATAAAATACACATCTCTTCTGACTACTTGCATATGCAATTTATTCTAAATTTTTAATGCTACTTCATCTTTGAAAGAACTATTCCCAATGATGTTAAATGCTGGATGCAAGAATTCACAGTCAGGAACAGCAGTGATTCTGCCTCCTTAGAGCAGTGATTCTCAACCACTTGTGCCGCCAAATTCTTAAAGTGTGCCACCAAATTTTAGAAATGTATATAGTAAAAATTATAAAGGGCATAATCTAGCATACAGTACTCATGAAAATTGGCGAAATTCAGATTTTAAGACATTAATAAGAGCGCCAATTGTGATAAAGCTGATTTTGGTGCTGAAGACTTCTGCATTTGAATTAACTTTGAATGAAGAGGAAGAACTATCCCATACAGCACACTTAGTTGCTATGACGTTGCAGTGAGCTCTCAATGTTGCATTTTCTTCACATTACATTTGTGACCACGGTACAACGTCTCAGAAATGCCGCATTGTGATGTGGATGTGACATACACGTCACAGCAAATGTTTAATGTGACGACAAGAAATTCGCAGTCTTCCCCGCCCTGACCTTTCTTGATCTTGCACACGTAATTCTTCTTTAATGGGAGGTATTCCTGCGCGCTGACCTCCCTCTCCCCCGATTCATTGCTATGTGTTTCAGTAAACTTTCTAAATAAATGATTATTTTATGCTAACAGCTTGCAATTTTAGTTATTTCTTTTTTATTAAAAATATTAACAGTTTTTAGAGTGTTTTTATTGATGTGGTACTTCGAAATCATTGAACTATATTCTGCGGTGAATGGATTCACATTCTACTGTATCTAGAGACTGACAAAAGAGTTGTCTGCATAGTGTTTGTTTGTCTTAAGGATTTTCGCGAACATTTTTTTTAGTTCTGCTCACCGAACACATCGTCTGTGCTACATTTTCAGGTAAGCACTATTTATTGTACATTGAAGTGAATGGTATCAGTAATAATTAATATGTAATAATAGAAGCGTAATTTAAATGCTATGAACAAAAAGAAATACTAGCAGTAGATTAACTTTTATTTGTATAACAAAGAGTGAAGCAAGGGCCATTATCAAAAGTCATCTTATTTTTGTCTCACTGCTTAGAAATTTTAATTTAGGGAGTCAGGTTTATTTGGTAGATATAATTCACTTTTTGATGTTTTTAATGTTAAAAGATAATGTGAAAAAAGAATTGATTTTATGCATTTTACTGCAGTACTTTCATCGTGTTCAGCTATTTTTCGAAATTATTCACAAAATAATTACTTCCTTCCATGCGTGGTACTTAGCGCCACATTATAAATGATGCAATACTTAAATAACCACATTTTAGTTATATAGAACACATTTTTTAATTATAACTTTACAAATGGTGTATTACTTTAAAACACTGAACTTTTCTACATATTTCCTATATGTAAATTTCTGAGATTAGTTTTAAAATTTATTATATCAAATGTTTTCTTTTCGCAAATTACGTCACACTTTTATGTATAATATATTTGTATTGTTAAAGTAACCCAATTTCCTTATTAAGAGATTTAGTTAGAAAAAAATATTTTTTAGTTTAGGTCAAATTATTTGAATACGGACATATGAGGGCTGCCTACTTAAGAGAAGGGATTCCTTTGTGGAGGACTTTCTAAGGAAACTAACTCGTATTCACTTCATATATTAAAAGAAACATGAAAACCTGTGCAAAAGTATTTGTTACTTGAGAGATTAAGAGAATATATTTATGGTATTAATTTTTTAAATAGTTACATAAATTATTTAAATGATAACAATATAAAAATAAGGAAATTACATTTCCTCTTTACTTATATATGAAGGAAGTTAAAATTTCACTTGTGACAAAAGAGTATAAATCAACAGTAATTTGTCTCTAAAAGTACAAGTTACTTCATGTTATAAAGAAACCGAATTACAAATTGTATTTTAAGAAAATTAAACCTATTGCAGAGAATTTTCTAAATGTAATGAAAATTACTATAAATCGAAATGTATAATTAAGCTTCACCGATAAACTTTATTCAAAATAATAATTTTATTTTAAATTAATATATTTCACTTCTGCAAACAAGATATTTTATTTTTTTATAATAAACTTAAAAATTACATCTAACCCTCTAATTACGTCTAATTTAATTATCTAAGCTTACCACATCTAGTTTTGCTTTAATTTATCATTTGCAGAAATAGATATTGAAAAGATACTAATTTCTGCAATCGTATTTGAACAGCTTAATAATTAAGAAAGGAATCTTTCACAAAGGAATTCAAAAATTTCATTGTGATAACTTGGAAATTCGCATATTATAAAACACTGATGAATTAAAGTAAAGTCTTTGTCAAACAAGGGAAGAAAAACTGATTTTAAAGTAAAATATAACTTCATGGAATTCTTTTTATTGGGACGGACTTCAGTTCTTTGCCACATTTAAATAAGCAAACAAATTTGTTTGGAAATTTCGTAACAGAAAGCCAATTTCTGGAGCGTCAATCGAAGGTTCTGAAAACTCCGTATAATAGCGCTGCATTATACTGTGGGACAAACAAATATTTCTTTTAATGTAAGAGGAGGAATTTTATATTTTCGTTGTTTTTTAATTTTAACAAAAGTTGTAAAGTTATTCCTACAAAATTAAGTAGTGCAATTACTTTTATTTTCATAAATACAGCCAATTTCAATTTGAACTTAAGAATAACTGAAATTCAGTTTTAATTGCATAGTTTCTAAAATGAAAGGCATAAATGTGTTTTCATATTTCCTTTCACACCATTTTTGTTTTTTTATATTAAAGAAATCAAATAATCTATTTCTCTTGAGTTAAACGTATACTAAGGAAACTGTTTCTTTAATTCTCGTCTAGTAAAAAAAAACTATAGCATTATTGCTAAAACATGTATTGATGCCTTTTTGGCATTTTAACAATTTGAAATCATTTCTGGTTTCAATAAAGAAAACAAATGAAAATTTTAAAGAAAGGCCAGTTTAAAGAAAAATGAAGTACTTTAAAG